AACTCATTTAGAGTCTAATCTTTGACTTTAATGTATAATGATCATAACAGCATCACAGTGATTCTGTAGCTTGAGATCCAGATTTTTCAATATAAACCAAGTGTTATCTTAAAAGTTGTTCTGATAAAAAAAAAAAAAAAATCTTTCTTTTAGGCACACACAGACATCAAGATTCAGTGTATGAATCTCAACAATGGTGACAAACAGAATATTCAATTAGGAAAAGGAAATGACTAAGACAATTCAGATCATAATTTATTCATACCACAATGCATGATGGGAGCCATGAATTAGTTTTGATTGGTGGCACCCAGAATGCACTGCAACATGCTCTATAATTGTCACCATTGTTGAGATTCACAGGCTGATTTTTGATGTCTGTCTGTCCAAATAAAATATTTTTTCTTTTGAATAGAACAACTTTTAAGAATTGTTTTGGATAATGTTTAAATTACAGAAAAAAAATATATTGTGTTATCAAAAGGTTAAACTCTACAAATGAGTTTTGTGACAAATGATGATTATGTCAAAACATAACACACATCACGTAATCAGTTTTCCTTGTTGTTAATTTGGCTGTTATAACTCAGGTACAGCAGTCAAACAAAAACTAACATTAACAGTTTAAGGGTCAAGAGTGCAACTAAAGCAAACACTTATCGCCATAATGGTGACTTAAAAAATGTGACTCTCCTTCAGTGATTCTGCTTGTTAACATCAGGTGTCTTCAATAATGCTCAATCATCACTCATTTATTCTCTTAATTATCTCATTAACTTTAAAACTCTTGAGTCTGGATCCAAATAAACTCCCAGGAAAGTTCATTTAACAGTTTTTTTTATTGCTGTGGGTGGAATAAAAATATGGCAGGACTTTTACTTTCTGACCCCTGGACTTTCCACCTCTGGTTGAGACAGTTGAAGCCCATTTTTAGCGATTTTTGAGAACTTCCGTTCCTGACGCGCAGACTCAGACCGACTCAAACTAAGCTTGATGACGTGAGCAACCTGTCTGACAGACGTGAATCTTCTAGTAGCTGTGCGTGAAAACTGCCAACGTTAATCTTGCAGAGACGGGGAACTTGAGCAAAGAGTTCTTTGGCGTGAGTGAGCAGGAGTAAGTATTCCGTTGCTTTTATGGACTCATTATCTATGGGCTTCTCCCTTGACGGGACGTCCCCCCGATTGCCTGCGAGCTTCTCCTCCTGTCTGTACGGTAATTTCTGTACAGCGCGACAGAGAGTCGAGTGGTTATGACGCAATCGTTAGCCTATTTTTACTAAATCTGTTTCTACGGGGCCATAGTGTAACATAGAAGGTAATGGAGCCCTTTATACATTGTCGTGTTTCTTTAGAAATAAATAATGGACAAATGGAGTCTTTAAACGCCTCAGATGTAAAGTTATTCGCTGTCAAAGTGACGCAAAAATGAATGGGAGTCAATGGAAATGCTAACGCAAGTGAAGTTCTGCTACAACATGGCGGCACCCGGCCGGCTTCAACTTCCGGTCGATGGATTACCCCCTTGATGCCAGCACCTCCCAGCCGGGTTCGTCACTTATTTGGTTCCCCTGGAAACATTTCCGTTGTGCACTGTGTTATTTGCAGTGCGTTTATGTATTTGGTGGTGTTGTGAGTATTTGGAGCACACGTGTTGTTGTGAAACTGATGAAGATGTTTTCTTAATTTGCAGGTGTGTTTTTTTATTTGCACGCGTTTTTTTCTATTTGCATGCATTTTATTTTATTTGCATGTGTTTTTTTTTTATTTGCACGCGTTGTTTTCTATTTGCATGTGTTTTCTTCTATTTGCATGCGTTTTCTTCAGTTGCAGCGCGTTGAGCTCTCTCGGCCACCGTAGGAAAGGGACTTAATCATATGAAACAAAAAGGATTATATCAAATTTATTAGGCTGGAGGAATCAGGTAGGTACTGACAGTTATGCTTCAGTAAAACATTTTATATACATTATATAATACATACATTATTATTTATATTTATATGAAAAAGATTTTGGTAACACTTTACAATACGGGTGCACTAATAAGCATTAATTCATGCTTAACTAATGCACAGATAATACTGAATTAATATGTAACTAATGATTATCTAAGTTATTCATTAATGATTACCACATTAGGAACTAATTAAGAGTCTGTATGGTTAATGTATCAGTTCATACATGAATTGTTATTAATTAAATATGTAATTGTGAATTAATTCCCTAATAACTCTTTTTTTTAACTAATAGTGTGAGCCAAAGCCTTGTATTTCAACTTCCAGATAATACAGGTACACCAATATGCATTAATACATTATTAATTACTTCATTGTTAGATTCATGTGTAAATTACTACAATTACTAAATGACTAGTTAATAATTATGTGCCTCAACAAGTAAAGTCATAACATAATAATACCTTTGCAAATCATTAGCTAATGATTAATTAAAGCAGAAAACTGGAAGTTGAAGTGCATAACTTTGACTAATTGTGGTAATTAACACATTCATTTACACTATTAGTTAATAAAATATGTTATTAAGGAATTAATACACAATGACACATTGAGTTAATAGCAATTCATGTATTACTTAATCTATTAATCATATAGACTATTTATTAGTTGCTGATGCAGTACACTGTAAAAAACAATTTGTTGAGTCAACTTAAAAAACTTTGTTACCCCGCTGCCTTAAATTTTGTTGTCAACTTGACTTAGGGCTGGGCGATATATCGCACGATATTGTTATGCGCATCTCGTCAGTAAAGCCGGTTCCTTGATTAGTAGTAAATCACCTTCACCTGTTTTTCAGATGGAGCGGCATTTACTACAAAGAGCCGTAGTTAACTGACAAGCTGAGCCAAATCGCACTAATATCGCGGACGTATCGCCAGCGACATTTAATGCGATATGGCTCAGCTTGTCAGTTAACTACGGCTCTTTACACAGCAAAAACTCCAGTGTTAAATGAACACACCTGGGAGCGTATATGAGTCCACACTCAAGAGTGTTAAAGTTAATGAGATATTTAAGTGATTAATTGAGTGATGATTGAGCATTATTGAAGACACCTAAAGCAGAATCACTGAAGAAGAAAACCGGAATTTCAGGTCACCATTATGGAGATGAGTGTTTGCTTTAGTTGGGCTCTTGACCCTTATATTATTAACTTTAGTTTTTGTTCAGCTGTTGTCTCCGAGTCATACCTGCCAGATGAACAAAGAAAAACAATGATCTAATGGTATTGATTATATTATGACATTCATCATTTGAGCTAATTGTTTGTGATTAATGCTGTTGGTTACAGCATAACTGATATTCTGCATAAATGTCCAGAATTTGTGATATAATATAAAAGATTTCTTAAAAAAAAAAAAAAAAATCTTTGTTTTAGGCACACACAGATATCACGATTCAGTCAATGCATCTCAACAATGGTGATGAACAGAATATTCAATTAGGAAAAGTAAATTACAGAGACAATTCAGATCATAATTTATTCATACCGCAATGCATGATGGGAGCCATTAATGAGTTGTGATTGGTGGCAACAAGGATTATTATTGTCACCACGGTTGAGATTCACAGGCTGATTATTGATGTCTGCGTTTCTAAATAAATGCATTTGAAAGTGATTTGATCAGAACAATTTTTATTAAATGGTTTGGATTTTAAGAAACATACGATTATCATATGCTGTGCTGTAGAACCACTAAACTGTTGCTATCAAATTAAACAAGATCATCTGAATGAGTTTCATTTGTCAGATCACAGCATGAGTATGTCAAAACATAACCAACACTATCAGATCACACTTGTTTTTGTTCATTTGACTGTTATAAATCAATAACAGCAGACAAACTAAATTTAAACTTAAAGTATAAGGATCAAGAGCCCAACTAAAGCAAACACTGATCGCCATAACGGTGGCTTACAATTTTAGATTTTCTCCTTCAGTGATTCTGCTTGATAACATCAGGTGTCTTCAATAATGCTCAATCATCACTAAATGAATCACTTAATTATCTCATTAACTTTAACACTCATGTCTGCATCATATCTTCCATCTGAAAGCAGGTGAAGGCGATTTACTACTAATCAAAGAACCGGCTTTACTGAAGAGACGCGCATAACAATATCGTGCGATATATCGCCCAGCCCTACAATATATGGTGTATGTGCAATTGTATCAACATGCGTTTTCTAGTTGAAACAACAGTTATACTAGTTAATTCAACTTTTAGCTTAGTTGAGGACAATTAAACTTAAATGTTCTTGTTGTCTGGACAATTTCTACAAATTTAGTTGTGTCTACAAAAAAAAAAAGTTGAAATGGCAATTATTTTTTACAGTGTAATCATTAATTAATGGTTTAGTTCTTCATGAATCATACATTAACTCATGATTATCTATGCATTAGTTAAACATGAATTAATGCATATTAGTGCACCCGTATTGTAAAGTGTTACCAAAATTTTTTACAGTCATGGAAACGGATTGCTTTAAATTCCTCAAGCATGTTTTTTTTTTACAAAGTTGTAAGTTGTAATGCAAAGACATAAAAAAACAGTGTTGGGACAACAATGCAACTTTATTTAACTGAAAATATGCCACTTGTTGTATATAGGCCTTTATCTGAAATTTAACTGAATCAACACCAATTTTAACAACATACTAAAGTACTAAAGTAGTTAATAGACATCACTGCAATACAGTCACTGCCCTTTAAATTTAGCAACATGCAGCATGTCATCATGGAGGGGTTTGCGATACAGATGTTGTCTTAGTTATATAACCATAGACTGTAAAAACGCTGGTTATAATGGTTATAAATGGGTGTCAGATGCAGGCGCTGCTTCACTCCTCCAGATGGAGAGGAGGCGCTGATGCCTCGTGTTTGCACTCGGGCTGTCCTCACAGAAGAAGACATGGCGTCACGACTCTTCATAAACACTCTCAGGTGAAGAAGATATGGAGAACTTGAGCTGATTTCAACCTATGATTTCAACTCAGACATGTTTTTCGGTAAGATCATATTGCTGCTGTTTTCACGTGTGTGTCTTTATCGCTTCCAGTGACTTCGCCTTTACTGTCACTCATCATTCGTGTGAATTATCGGAGGCATTTATTTACCAACTCCATTAACCAGTCAACTCCCCCTTACATCACTTTATCAGTGTGTACTTTATATTTCTGCCTGTTGAACCTCTAATGATTGTTAAATACATACACCACACCAACATGAAGTATTTTATTCCTTTGTATTAATTTAGGAGTAATAAACAAGCGGCAGAAAGGATCCATGAGCTGAACTGAAGCGACATTTGATGTAATTTGACAGGTTGTTTTTGCACGTTTATTTATTTCTTTTTTTTCGTCAAAACACATTAATCTGACATTAGACTTGCTGTCATTATTATACAATATATTTATACCTAAATTTACAAATTGAAATATATTTTTATAATACATTTTATATTTTATATATTGGTATAACATTTATATTAGTATATATATATATATATATATATATATATATATATATATATATATATATATATATATATATATATATTTTAGGGCTGGGCAACGATTAATCACATCCAAAATAAAAGTTTGTGTTTACGTAATATTATGTGTACTGTGTATAATTATTTTGTAAATATAAATACACACACATGCATGTATGCATTTAATAATATATATATATATATATAAGATATTTATATTTAATTATATATAACATAAATGATGTATAAATATATATACAGTATACATGCAAATATTTCTTAAATATATCCATGCATATGTGTATATTTATATATACAAAATAATTATACACAGTACACACACATATATTAAGTAAACACAAACTTTTATTCTGGATGCGATTGATCATTGCCCAGCCCCTACTATTTTTTATAAAATTTGACAAAATGAACAAGATTTTAGGTTAAAATGGATATCTGTTATCCTAAAAAATAATTTTCTCAATAGCTTTTCGACAGTTCGTTTAAATTGTCCTATGCATAAACTAAGAACAAATATTCAATGTAGCCTTTCAATTGATATGAAGTCATTAAATTACATGCATAGTTATTACACAAGTGCTGTAATAGTTATATGTGACGCACAGCATGCTTGAATCCCGATGTTGTCTCTCTGTTGTTCTCTCAGCCTGACGGACTGTTGCGATGGAGATAATGGCAGTGAACCTGCCGTCGAGCGCCAGTCTCCCTGCGTCTCCGTGTGCCGAGGACTCGGGCTTCCCGCTGGGCTCTCTAGACAGCGAAGACTACGTGTTTGTGGAGGCTCGGCATCCCAACAAGGTGCTGGAGGGCTTGAACAGCCTGCGGCTCAATAAGGCCTTCTGTGACGTGACTCTGTGCTGCGGGGGGCAGGAGTTTCCCTGTCACCGCATCGTCCTCGCCTCCTTCAGCTCATATTTCCAGGTAATGACACATCAGGCAAGCTGAGGGCACTGCAAAAAATGACGGAGAAGGAGAGAGAGAACGCTCGAGGGAGTCATTCCGGCGAGCGTTTGCATCAGAAACGACGGCAGTGCGGCTCATGAGCGGCAGCTGCGCGTCTGTGAGAGGAGGCGGAGAAGGCGAGAGCGAGGCTCGAGGGAGGGAGTCCGGCGAGCGCGTCGCGGTGGCCACAGGCTCCGGCGGCCTTTGAGAACGGCGCTTATTTTGCGCGGTCCTGCAAAGGGCGGAGTGACAGCTTGAGGGTTGAACACTTCGAGCCGAGCCCGCAGGGTCGTGTTGTAGTTACTGTTGGTGTCCGAGTTGTCCTGGGTCTCTTCTGTGTATTCGCAAAATCCATTGCACTGCTTGCGAGTGTAGGCTACTTGCTGACTAGCGGTGGTGGCAGAGTGATCTGAAACGTTTAACATGAACGCGCTTGACGTCACATCCGCAGACAGCGCGGGAAAAATCCGACCCGACAGAAAATAGGAAAATTAGGATACAGGTTTATAGGTGCACCCACTGTGAGCGGACAAGGTGTCAGTATGCTCATCAGGAGATGTTTGAGTCATAAATGGTAAAATAAAAAGGCTATTGTTACGTTTATTTTGGGGGAAAAGTTGCATATAGCCCCTTTAAATCAAGATGTATTTACTAGATGAATGAAATTACATAAGATATTATGTCCTGTTTTCCGGGGAATTAATCAAAATTGATGCTATAGGATGTTGCGCGTACACGGTCAACACAAAATGATCGAATCACTCTCTTACTACAAAATGGCCATTTTGTAGTGGTGTCCGAATTCTGCGTGAACGACATCATTCCCTACATTCATTCACTACTTTTTATACCCACAATCCCCTCTGAATTCGACTGTGTATTCGATGTACACATTTGTTGAAGCTCTATTTACCAAAATCCAATGGGGAGAGGAGCGAGCGAGTTTGTTACTTTACAGCTTTCTTATTTCTGCTTTAACATTAAGTATGTGAGCCCAGCATTTTTCCTAAATATCTGCAAACATATTATGGTATTTTTATGCTTTAGTAGAGTGGAAAAGTTACATACCGCACCTTTAAAGCTGTGTTGTGTTGTCGGCACAGACCATGTTCGGTTTGTGTGAATTAGCTTATTCAAATATTTCAAGTTAAGAGCAATTCAAATGTATGATTACAAAATAAAAACCTGCAAGTTCTGCTTGCTTAAACATAACATTTCTTAACTTAAAAAAATGGATGTAACTGTTTACCTCAAATTATTTGAGTTTTGCCAACTTATTCAGGTGTACAGTGTAGAAAACAGTGATGAATGCTGAAGTTTTCAGTATTAGAGAGATGTTCCAGCCCCTGCTGAAAGCCTAAAGCTGTGTTGTGTTGTCGGCACAGGCCATGTTCTCCACCGACCTGATGGAGTCGCGTCAGGAGCGCGTGGCCATCAACGGAGTGGAGCCGCAGATGATCGGGATGCTGGTGAACTACGCCTACACGGCGGAGGTGGTGATCTCCAAGGCTAACGTGCAGGCGCTGCTGGCGGCCGCTAACCTGCTGGACGTGCTGGCGGTGCGCGAGGCCTGCTGCCGCTTCATGGAGCGCCAGATGGACGAGATCAACTGCGTGGGCATCCACTGCTTCGCCGAGGCGCACTCGTGCCGGGAGCTGGAGCGACGCAGCATGGAGTACATCCAGCAGCACTTCAGCTGCGTCTGCCAACAGGTCAGGCTTCACACACTCACACTGCAGTGCTGATTCAGGCTTCACACACTCACACTTCTGATCCTGAAGCCATGCTCACCTTACCACAGCAGGGCCATGCCGGCATCACACGTTACCGGTCACATTAAAGAGGTAGTTCACCCAAAAATGATAATTAGCCCATGATTTACTCACCTTGAAGTCATCCTAGGTGTCTATTACATCCTTCTTTCAGACGAATACAATCAAAGTTATATTAAAAAATGTCCTGGCTCTTCCAAGCTTTATAATGGCAGTGAATGGCTGTTTCTGTTTTGAAGTCCCTAAAAGTGCATCTATCCATGATAAAAGTGCATCTATCCATGATAAAAGTGCGTCTATCCATGATAAAAGTGCGTCTATCCATCATAAAAGTGCGTCTATCCATCATAAAAGTGCATCTATCCATCATAAAAGTGCATCTATCCATGATAAAAGTGCGTCTATCCATGATAAAAGTGCGTCTATCCATCATAAAAGTGCGTCTATCCATCATAAAAGTGCATCTATCCATCATTAAAGTGCGATAAAAGTCCATCTATCCATCATAAAAGTGCATCTATCCATCATAAAAGTCCATCTATCCATCATAAAAGTGCATCTCTCCATCATAAAAGTCCATCTATCCATCATAAAAGTGCATCTATCCATCATAAAAGTGCATCTATCCATCATAAAAGTGCATCTATCCATCATAAAAGTGCATCTATCAATCATAAAAGTGCATCTCTCCATCATAAAAGTCCATCTATCCATCATAAAAGTGCATCTCTCCATCATAAAAGTGCATCTATCCATCATAAAAGTGCATCTATCCATCATAAAAGTGCGATAAAAGTCCATATATCCATCATAAAAGTGCATCTATCCATCATAAAAGTGCATCTATCCATCATAAAAGTGCATCTATCCATCATAAAAGTGCATCTCTCCATCATAAAAGTCCATCTATCCATCATAAAAGTGCATCTATCCATCATAAAAGTCCATCTATCCCTCATAAAAGTGCATCTATCCATCATAAAAGTGCATCTCTCCATCATAAAAGTGCATCTCTCCATCATAAAAGTGCATCTCTCCATCATAAAAGTGCATCTATCCATCATAAAAGTGCATCTATCCATCATAAAAGTGCATCTATCCATAATAAAAGTGCGATAAAAGTGCATCTCTCCATCATAAAAGTGCATCTCTCCATCATAAAAGTGCATCTATCCATCATAAAAGTGCATCTTTCCATCATAAAAGTGCATCTATCCGTAAAATAATATTGCCAGCAGAGTAAAGGAGCAGAAGGAGATGCAAGAGCCTGAGAAATGTATGAACTTTGACAGCATTTATACATATATATATATACATCAGAGAAGGAACGGGTACGTTAATCATATAAAAAAAATATATCCTTTCTAAGAATCATCTCTGGCCTCTTGGTATTACATTCTGCAAGCGTAGCTAAACATTGAGGTTTTAACACTATAGAAGCAGAACGAGTCCATGTCCATGTCTGGACTTTATGCTAATAAACCATAATAATAAGTAAAACCACAAACTCATGTCACATTTGATATTAGACCGCATACCAGTAGAGCTGGTAAGTCCCGCCCCTTCCGCTTACCCCGCTGGACCTCTAGGTTGAAAAATTGTCAATGCAAGTGAATGAGAGAAAATAATTATTTTCTGATCCCGTTTGAATTTTGCAATGAATGTGAACATATGTTGTCTGTGAATTTTTTATATAACTTTTCGTGTAAAGAATGCTACAATTTAGCGGGTAGAATTTTCATACGGTTAGACTTTGTGTGAGAGCACTTTGTGGACTACAACTCTTCGCTGCTTTCGACGCGTTTGATATAGTCACCACCACTAGCACACGGATCCCGCTAAACATGCCTGTGTTTGAATGGTGACATTTGGGTACAAAACACACAGGCATCTCGATCTAATTCCTTAGATTATCGCACCGTGATTTGTGGAGGGAAAATGTGTTATGCGGTGACGTCACATATGCGACGTGTAGTCTTTCTCGTTATGTCTATTCCACAACTGCTAGCCAAAGAATCATACAATATACTGTCAAACATATGTTCACATTCATGGCACAATTCAAACGGGATCAGAAAATAATTATTTTCTCTCATTCACTTGCATTGACGCTTTTTCAACCTAGAGGTCCACTTGGAGTTTTACGGATGGGCGGGACTTACCAGCTCTATACCAGACATGTCTACACTTTTAGAGAAATGGCAGCAGAATTCAGACATGCACATTTTGAGGTGAACTAAAGGTCTGGTCTGAATAGAACTTATCAGTATATGAACTATGAGTATATGATATCAAAATATACCATAGAGAAAAAGAACATTTGTAAATGGTTTGATGCAAAAATAAAATTAATGAAAGTATATTTTTTAGGTTGAAAATTGTACAGTATGTGTGTGTGTGTATATATATATATATATATATATATATATATATATATAAATATATTCATAGAAATAACCATAAAAGAATAATCAAAAGAATACATTTTTATTTTATATTATATTATTGTTATGATATTCATGTAATTTAAAAAATTTAATACATAGAATGAAAAAAAGGGCCTCATTACAGGGAAAGGGTTACAAGTAAGGGTTAATGCCCTCCGAGGTGTCCTCCGCTGCGCGTCGGCCGGTTCACACCTCGCCGTCGTCCATTAAAACCTGACAATGGACACCTCGGAGGGCATTAACCCGCTTATACCATGGTCACTTGCCAAATAAAACATTTTTAAAACATTAGTTTATATTTTAATTAGGCTAAATCTAGTTTTTACAAATAATAACTTGCCTGACGGTTTATTTAGCAACCGGAGATATTTATAGTCCGCTCAGCTTGTAGAACCCTTCAGGTTCAAAAATGCTTTTTTTTTCATGAAACACAAAGGTAGGCATAGTTATTTTTTTATTACACATAAAACAATTAATCAAAAAAAACAATTAGTTCTGCGCTCCAGCGATTTGCGCTTATAGAGGGCAATAAATGAATCCGATCAAAGAGAGGGTCATTTGCCTACATGCTCCCAGTGTTATTGTCAAATTGTGTCGTTTCTCCGTTTTATTTACATTTTTTTCTTTCTTCAGCAGCATCCCAGTCGTCAAAGTTGTCTTATTCTCCATAAATGTAAAAGAAATAACGAAGTCGCTCATTGTTGTATTAGTAGGCTGTGTAATATCCAACTAACGTTAGATGTTTGTTTTGATAGAGCAAATTGTTAACGGATACTTTGACTGCCTGTTGCTATGGTTACTCACAGCTGTTGTAGGCAGCGCATTTATTTATTAATTTCGAATGGTAAACAGTCAGTTTCACCAGAGCTACTTTACTAGGTGTCCTCTATCACTTTTTAACGGACACCCTGCAGCCAATCAGAATCGAGTATTCACCCAGACCATGGTATAATATTATGACAAATAGTTGGTTATTGCCCTTGATATTGTAATAATAATTATTAATGTCAAATAACTAAATGCATTACAAATGCCTGTGTGTGGAGAAACGGCACTTTCTTTTAGACAAAACAAACCAAGAACCTTTTATTTATTCATCCAAACGCTTCTGATTGGCCGTTGCATTCATACGCTCAACAGATTTCCAAAAGTTGTGATTGGTCCAAAAACGCTGCAAAAAACAATGTGTAAAAATAAATCTTTGATGCAACATCAACAAACCTGTAATTCCAACACATTTTATACATTTTCACAGTATCCTGTAATATAAGTATTTGTATTATCTGTGTAAGTGTAATCTTATCATTGTAAGTGAAAATAAAACCTAGAATGTGTAGAAAACAGTGATGAATACTGCAGTTTTCAGTATTAGAAATATGTGACATGATTTTCCGCCTTGACTCTCTTAATTGTTAAATCATGAGGAATCTAACTGTCATTGATATTATTTTTTAGATACGAGTTATACATTATACTATGGATATACAGTATATCTATATAATCTCTCTGTCTCACCCTACAGGAGGAGTTTCTTTCTCTGTGTGCCGATAAACTGACCGAGATCATTTCCAGTGACGATCTGAACGTGCCGAAAGAGGAGACCGTGTTCGAGGCGGCCATCGTTTGGCTGGAGAAAAGCTCCTCGCGCAGACAGAGCTTCGAGAGGGTCAGTCATACTCATAACTCATATTAATATATCCCGACCAGCGCTTTTAGTAATGCCATAGCACTCATGGGGCAGTTACTATAGACTTTGAGGATGCACAATTTCTTTGGACACTTCAACAATCACACTCTGAGACATCTTATTTAAAACATAAATTCAAACAATTATATAATAATAAATTAAAAATGTGGAAATATGCAACTCCACTTCCCTGCAATACTACAAAATCACAGGCAATCTGAGGATTTCAAAACATTTGATGATAGTCCACTCAAAAGTTCTGTCATCATTCACTCACCCACATATTGTTACAAACCATAAAACACAAATTAAGTTATTTTTTATGAAACCTGAAATTTGAAAGTCCATTTCACCACCATAAAGTTCATAAAAACATCAACAAAGTAATCCATATGAATCGAGCATCAGGCAAATACGGTTGAGCTTCCGTTTACCATGTTTCACGTGCTCATCTGCATTGATCAATGTTTACATGTGAATATTAGCCTAGATATAATCTGTTCATTTTATAGTGTCTCTCCAGAAGACTCGGATTAAACCGCTCGATTCATATGGATTACTTCTGCGATGTGTTTATAACTTCTCAAACTGGGAAAGTTTTGGGGGAATGGACTTCCAATGGAAATGGAATGGGAAAAATGTCAAATGTCATGAGCATGTCATTATTGCAGCTCTTATATATAGTGTTCTTTATCGGCATCGATGGTTCCATTAAGAACTTTGAACATCAATGGAACCTTTCCTTTGCACAAAAGATTTTTTTTTATAATGGAATGAAAGTTCTATAGATTGTAACGATGTTCTTCACACTAAAAAAAGGTTCTATTAAAGGGATACTTCAGGATTTAACATTAAGCTTTGTATTAGTAGAAAACCTGTAGTATTTTCAAATTACCGTGCTTTCCACCCTCATATCCCCCTGAGACGAGAGATTTATGTATTTTTTATCTGTAAAAAATCCTCCGATGACGCAAAAATCGTCATTTTGCGTCATCGGAGGATTTTTTGGCCCGAGGCTAAAGACTACAGCCAGTAGTAGGGGCTGTCCCGCATGTTCTCAACCCGCCCATAGAGGGTGGATCTCACTCACAGAATGTACACATAGTGTCAGACATCTTTTTTTGGAAGCTAAGATAGCAGGCTCTTGTTCTGTGGAGAAAGCTGAGTAGTAGGGGTTACCATCCTCTTTTTCCCGGACATGTCCTGCCGTCGATGTCCGGGATTCAGCTTTTGCTTTCTGCAGTCGCCATTCACAGGGTTCCCGCGGGGTCTTAAAAAGCCTTAAAAGCATTGAATTTATTAATTTGGAAATAATACCTTAAAAAGACTTTAAAAAGTCTTGAATTTTTATGTCTGGGCCTTAAAAATTGTGCTATGTAACTTCTCCGTATTGTATTTTTCCTCAAAAGTTTCATTTGTCAACCACTATTATTATGATTTTCGATGTTTATTGTTCAGGGGTCTCTCAGCTCCCCATATTCCCAGCATGGAATAAGTAGCTAGCTAATGTTAAAAAACAACTTAACATTGTTCGGCAAACTTTCTTGTGGCCTACTGAAATGTTTTTATTTTTCACACCTGCTTGCCTTATCATCTTTTACCCATTCCACATTTGAAAAATAAATGAACACAAGTTCAAGGATTTTGTTTTTCTTTGCTGGTAGGGACGTGAAATAGGTATTAATTTTTTATATAAATGGTCTTAAAAATGTCTTAAAAAGACTTGAATTTAACTTGAAGAAACCTGTAGGAACCCTGCATTCATTGTTTACTTGCACACCTTTTGTTTCAATCTAACTGAATTCATTCTGATTGGTGAATCTGAATGTAGTGTTTACATGAACGCTAAACAAGTGATCGGTTGCGTTTTAACATTGCTAAGAAAATCCCCGCTCCTCCGTGAGAGATACGAGACCGGTGCGTCTCACAGGTGTCGCTCATCGGTAATCACGCCACCGGCCTCGTGCCGTCCTCCCGCGGCCCTAGTCTCGTCCTGCTCGCCACAGTAAACATAATGAATGGCGACTGTAGAACGCAAAAGCCGAATCCCGGACATTTTGGGCGATCTCGAAACACATTTTCGGGCAGACTCATCACGGAGACTCACTAGTAGCCTAGACTTGTTGTTTAACTACTGCGCTCTCTTACCGGTAGGCGTGGCCTCCTAGGGCAGCGAAGCAAGTGCATTCTGGGAGTGGTTGTCTTTCATCCACATAAGCCAAAAATACATTTTCTGTCTTTTCTCAGTCTAGAAAGCTCCAAATTCAACAATAATTTCACATTTCTTCTACATAAATGACCCATTTTAAATACACATTCATCTTTCCAGAGGTGAAGTCTCCCTTTAAAGCTACAATATGTAATTGTTTTCGCCGCTAGGGGTCGCTAACCTCTTACAATAACAAAGGCGTAGGTTGATGACGCATAAGTGGATTTATGGAACTTGTCGTCATGCCGATGGATCTAATAATGTTTATGGATGAGTGAATACACTGATGATCATGACTGTGGTGTGAAGCAGGGTGCGATTGCTAATGAGAGAGAGATCTCAGCGCCACACGTGAGTCTCGTGGATATAAAGGAATAAGGACATTTCATTCTACCAAACTACCCGCAAGTGCTGGATTACTCACACAGGTCAGTTTATTAGACGAATTAAACTTGTGAGGAAACGCAGCGCTGTTTCACTCGGTCTACACTATCACACTAAACTGCATTTGAGTGTGTTGAAAGTTAAAATGTTATTCTGTGTTAGTTTGTTTGCTATATGAAACTAGCAGTAAGCTAGATCAACATTAGAATAACATACTGATCATATTCTAACATTTCATCATGTTGAACTATATAACATTGATTCGTTTTATGTACATTTGCTCACCTGTCTAATAAAGCACATGCAAGAGCTCTGTCAAGTCGGAGTCAGTCGCGGACGTGGAGCTCTCGGCATCTCATAAACGCTACGCTGATATTGATCCTCGATTTAGTTCTCCTTTTTTCCCCAAAGTCTGCTTGCCACGGTCCATAATGTTTGAACAAAACAACAACAGCGTGCCGCTAGACGTTACACACTACGCTGTTGTCCACGTCTGTGGCCATGGTTACTATGGCAGTACTACTAGCGGAAACCAGGGATAACGTGGATATTACGTCAGCCAATTATTAAAAATGGAATCTCTCTGAAATTAAAAATCTTTGGGAACTTTTGGGAAATTGTAAGTATGCAGGAAATATATCACACTGTGCTAGTGATTCTTGGATATTTTATTACAATAATCTTACATATTGTAGCTTTAAGAACTTGCCACTGAAATGTTCTTTAGGGAACCAAAAATGGTTCTTCTATGGTATCGCTGTGAACCTTTATTTGTATGTGTAGGATAAAAAGGTGTTCATATAGGAAATAGCCTGGTTGGACAGTGTTTTTGTGACATGTTTCCAGGGGAGCCGGGGGTTTGTGTATCATGATCGCAGCAGGTGTTTGGGATTAGCCGCCTTTGTTTGTTTTGATGAACTAAGCCTGTGACAGGTCACATGCTCTTTACAGGTGGTGATTATGAAGAGAACAGTCAGACTGTGTGAGAAACGCTAAACTAGCCCTGATTGGATGGGATCGGATTGCTGTGTTTGCATATGGTTGCTATGCAGTTTTTTATAGACCTTAGTTGCCGCTCTTGAGAAAAGCTCATTGCAAATCTCATGGGAATGTAAACCAGTCTGAATGTGTTTAGGTTGCAATTAGTGGCATTTCCTGAGATGAGCATTATCATCACAATTAATCATAATGTGGTCATAAAATAATTGTTTGCCCAAAAATGAAAATTCTGTCATCATTTACTCACCCTGATGTCGTTCCAAAACCCTCCAACTTTTTGTTAATCTTTGAAACACACAAAATACTTTTTTTTTTTTTTTTTTTTTTTTACTCTTTATTTATTCAAATTCAAATAATAACAAACATAACAGAACAAAACAGAACAGCAGGGTGTTATGTTACAAAGATTCCCTTTTACACTTGGGTCTTATAGAATATCCATTTCTTCCATCTCTTTTCAAAAAGAGCTGATTTCAGCCTAATAAAGTGAGTGATTTTTTCCATTGTAAAGATTTCTTCCATTATCTCATTCCATTGTGACAATGTTAATGTGAGACTCTTCAGCCAGTTCCTTGTAATAGTTTTTTTGCTGGCCATCAATAAAACTTTGTAGAGATACATATCCTCTGTTCGTATAACTGAATAGGAAAGTAAACCAAGGTACATAGATTGGAAGTCAGTTGGAAACGCATAGCCCAAGACAACCCTTATTTCAGTTGCTATAATTTCCCAGAAGGGTCTGACTTTGGGACAAGACCAAAATACATGAGAATGATTGGCATTCGTACTGCCACAGAGTCTCCAGCAATGCTGGGGGGTCTTGAGTTGCTTACTTTTGATATGAGGTGTAATGAAATATCTAATTATGTTTTTCCAGCCAAATTCTCTCCACTGTCTTGAGCTGGTGGAAGTGTGTTGAAATAAACAAATAGAATGCCAATCATCCTCTGACACCTGGATTTGTAGTTCAGATTCCCACTTTTGTTTTATATACAGTGAATTAGTACCGTTACAGTTTTGCAGGCATTTATACAGTCTAGAAACAATTTTTGAGGGTAATTTTTGGTATGCTCCCGACACCAATTCTACCAGTTCACAGCCCTCCTGTGATAGGTGAGACCTTATCTCTAAATCATAAAAGTGCCGTAATTGGATGTACCTAAACAAGTCAGAGTTGTTCAGGTCAAATTCCCTCTTAACTTCCTCAAATGATTTAAACACCGAACCTTTGGTTAGCATACACACTGCCGTGATTCCCTTTCCAACCCACTTTCTAAATGTGCTGTCCAATTGACCACTTCTAAAATCAGGAGAGAAAGAAGGCCAAATCAAGAATTTACTTCAAATTTGTATTTTTTCACCGTGTCCCACCAGAGCTTAATGGTTG